CTAACCATGAACTACTTCTGGGGGCTTTACACCTTGAACCCTGACACAGGAAGCAAAACACGTTACCTGGATATGGTTATGTACCTGAACTACCACAAGGTGGTGCTGTTGCGTAGTCAAACAGAACACATATATGAGGAGAAGAACAATTGTATTAGGTTAGTAGCGTTAGTCTACAATTGTTTGTGTGTGTGTGTGTGTGTGTGTGTGTGTGTGTGTGTGTGTGTGTGTGTGTCTCTGTTCCACATGGTTACAGTCAGTTAAACACTGTCTTGGCTGTGCCTGTATCATGTTGTGTGTGGCAAGTGAACCGTGTGTGCACAAAAAGTTGGCTTTTTTCAGTGTGTTTAAATGCCTACCCTGTAAACTTGAGCGAATCAACAAACATAAAGTATACTTCAGTACTTTTCAGCTTTGTTGTCCCATTTCTTATTCCTCCACATGGTATTAAAATATAAAGTATGTCAACATGGAAAGAAGCAAAGAATGCGCCAAGGTTGCCATTGCCTAGCAGGGGTGATCTCACAATTTACCATGTCATAAGTTACATTTGAGGGTAACAAATTATATCAACCACTATTTTTTCATGAACAAAGGTAAATGCTAGTATTGTTGTAATTGAGATGTTAACCTCACAATGGGGACCTGAGTAGACATAGTAAAGCTTGTGGGAGATGAGTAGCTCCATTAGTAATCAGTAACACATAAACAGTCAGGCCGTACTGAGAACAACAGAATGATGGATCAGTGTGATCTGACTGATTACATGGTATAGTATGATAATATGGATACAGTTTAAAGGTACAGTGTGTAGAATTTAGTGATATCTAGTGTTGAAATTTCATGTTGCAGCTGAACACCCTTCACTCCCCCCTCCAAACATGAAAAAGAACCTGTGGTAGCTTCAGTTTTCATAAAAACTCAAAAGGTGTTCAGTTTGTCCAGTCTGGACTAATGTAAAAAACATGGCGGCCTCTGTAGAGAGGACCCCTTGATGTTTATATAAAGTATTTAAATATAAAGGGTCTTTTCTGGGGTAAAGAAAACTACAATTCATACAATTTAGATGAAATGAACTAGTGAAAACATCACGAGGATTATTCTACATCAAATTTCTACATATAGTTCCCTTTCACCTAAATCTTACACACTGGACCTTTAAGTAAAGTCAGACAAATTTGAAAATCATCATACACAAGTTCCCTGTACCCTACAACTCTATTTAGAGAGATCAAACATGTGCATCTCTTTATCTTTTCCTGTCTAATTAAACCCCTCCCTCTGCTCATGGTCTCTGGGTATTTGTTGTCTGTTCCTTGTCACAGAGGAAGTGCCGCACCCTGCTGCCTTGCTCCTTATTGGCCCCAGCTCTGATGAATACTGATTTTGGATAAAAGGATCAGAATATGGACGGGCAGACAAGGGCAGAGAAAGCTCCAATTGTAGATAAACTAAAGCTGCAGAGAGGAGACGCTGTACTGTCGGGGAGTAAATGGCTTTGTGCTGCACAAGGTAAGCATGCAAACAACAATGCTTAACTAACTTATACAATAGGAAAGTGCTGGAACTGCACGTTTCATATTTTACATTGTGTGTCTCTTGTTTTTAATGTTAGTAATTCACACAAGGTACAACTTTGTAATTTTGCCTGTCAATGAGTTATACTTCTCTATTTCTTGAAACGTATCTAGTGAATCTTATGTCATTTGTTTGAGTGTAGTAATTTATTTATCTAATGCTGATTTTTTTTAAATCATTGATTCATTTTTTTCACTACTTTTAACAATAAGACATGTTTTCATTATCCAGTCAGAGATCATATGACTTTTCAGGGTTGGGATTTTTTTCAGTGTCACTTAAACTGACAAAGCACTGCTGACCCTCTATCATGCTTTCTTGGTCTGGTCACTCCCAATCCTTGTACCAGTGTCTTGAACCAAAGTGACGCTGGACAGGTTTGGGGGGGGCTGTGCTAAGGAGTGCTGGTGTTATGTGCTTGATTATCTCTGACTGACTCATGTTTTCGTGTCTATTTTCCTTGACATCTCGATGATATTTGGTGTTATGTTTTCTTCTTTGACTCAATAAAATATACAGTGATGTGGTTGTGTTTCTTAATACTTATTGGGGTTTGAGTAAATAGCTGTGTCCATTGTCACTGTGTTACTCTGTATGACATATTCTTGATGTGTTACTTTGTTTAAGTCTGGCAAATAAAAGAAGATATCATATCATTGTACACCCTGTTCAATGACAATAAAGGCATTCTTATTCTTAAAGACTGGACATCAAACTGAGACTACATTTTCTCCAATATAGAGGAAGTCTTCTAGGATTGCACTTCAGACTGTCATCTCAAGCCTATATATAGTGCACATATGATGAGGTACACATCAATATTAGTAGCCCCCTTTGAATGATTGGAAACAATGTAGTCCAGTATCTGTTTTATTACAAGTTCTTCCTAGTCCATCCACTACTTTTGTGACTACTTCTCGCTCCATTCATTGTGATCTCTTACTGTCTCTCATACAGTACATCTTTGTAGATATGTAAAACACTTTTTCTATCATACATCCCTAATAAACTGCTGATACAGCTGTCAGGGAATTTTGGGCTCAGATTCTCTCCTAAGAACACTTCGGCACAAGGAATGGGGAGACAAGGATCAAGCTGCCGACCTCTTGGTAAGTGAACCACCTCATCAACAGCCGCCCCTCAGATATCTATGTAAAACTCTTGACCTATTCTTCAACAGGAAGATGGCCTTTAAAAAATCTTTCTTAATTATATGTGAATACAGTTTACTAGAACCACAATGCAGACAGATATATTACATTGGCCGAGCCATTTGCAAAATGGCAGATTCTATTACATTGTAATGTAAATGATCATGTCCACGATTTCCTGAGTTCAGTTGTATTCACCTCTCACAACAGATCTCTTAATTAGCATCTGTGGCTCAGGGGATAAAGTGGGTGGTCCACTAACTAGAGGGTTGGTGGTATGATCTCCATTATGCAGGCCAAGGTGTCCTCAGGCAAGATAGTGAACCCCAAAGTAGCCCTGATGGCTGTGCCATTCTCATATAAAAAGTGCTGCCCATAAATGCTCTGTATGAATGTGTACAGATCCTTTACCATTACATTAGCCCAGCCCACAACCTATTGCTTTTAGTTAGCTTTGATGTAACAGCATCAAACCTTACTCTGATTGTTGACCATCAGACATAATTGTACTGCTGTTTTGAACAGCCTCATCTGAGTAAGTTTATAAAGTGACTGAAATCCTCCCTTAAGGGCATCACTACAAGTCACTCAGAACAGACACTGGCTTTATATTCTTGTACCCATTGAGAGGCAGTAATATTATACACATGCCTGAACACATCCACTTTGTCTTACCTATACCACACTTTGTTAGGCTTTTTAAATCAATATGGTCCTCTGGAATCATTTGTAAATGTCTACTCTCCTTTTCAATCTTTCTAATGCTGCAAACCATTATGATCTATAGAATCTCTTGTTGTCCTAGTGCCATTTTTCTACATCTGACCCTAGGGCTCAAATCCATAAAAACTCTCAGTGGGTCGGAGATGAAAGATTTGTGTATGCAAAAAGAAACATACATACATTTGTATTAATGGTTCTGTTTTTTTAAATCTCACAAATCTGTGCACAGGCATGATAAATGACATGTCCATAATCATTACATCTGCATAAAATAAACAGACTGATCTGAGATGATATTATATTACAGATTCAGTGTGGAAGATTTAGGTAAAAGGGATCTATTGGCAGAAATTGAATAATAAAACAATCCTAGTCTTGACTGATAAAATCCAAGATCTTGCCAAACCTGATGTCAGTAAGGAACCCCCTTTGATTTACACAAGAATGTATACATTCAGAGTCAGAGAGGTTCAGAAAAACTAGGCCCTGTAATCCAGAGTCAGAGACCAGTCTTACAAGTCATACAGCAGCAGAATTTCTTAATTGGGACTGCCTAATAGAAACTGCCATAGCTAGCAGGGTAAAAGAGGTCAAATTAGCCTAGAGGGCCATCGTGTGGCGCATTCTACAAGCTACACCTGGCCTTAAGCGAAACCCATAGCAGCACATTGACTATTACAACACTATATGTGTAACATTGTGTTGTTTGCTGATTATAAATGTGGTTGAAATATATCAGCCTTCCTTAAAAAGTCATGTCATTTCTTTTGACATTTATCAGAATCAGAATCACTTTTTATTGCCAGGTATTGAACACACACGAGGAATTTGGATCCGGTTTTTCTTAGCTCTCTTAGTACAAACAGTTAAAAAAAA